TGGTATAGGCTGTGGTAGTTGTGGTCCAGTAAGTATATTTTTAATTCTCCTTTTATTCCTGGAATATTTATTTTACCAATACATAGCTCCAATCACCCCTATGAAATATCTTGTTTTCTGTGCCAGTGATGATGAGGTCGAGTGACTCTTAAAACTATGTTTATTTATATGGTAAAATTCAAGGAGAGATAATACACAAAATGACTTAAATATATTTGTGTAATATTTTAAGATTATGCTATCCAGAAAAGGTGCTCTATGAATGATAAATTATTTTCTTTGGGAAATTGAAATGATCTCTTTTACAAGGATTATAAGTCATCGTATTTGAATTTGGTGAAGATTGTGTTGTAATGTTCAGTTTCAGTCTTGGACTAATCCTTTGTGGATACTGAGAATTAATGACACTGACTCTGAATTAAAGATTCTGAGTTTCACAGATCAGGGTGATCGTTAAGACAGAAGGCTGTAGAGTCAGGTTATCTTGGTTTGGACCTAGTTATGCCGTTTAATGTGACTTGGATATGTTACTTAATATATCCTAGTCTTAGTGTTTTCATTTGTCCTCTCAACACCTCATAGGATTGCTGTGAGGATTAAATGAGATAATTTATATGAAGTGGCTAATATAGCATCTAGCACATAGTAACCTTTTGTTAAATGTTAGTTTTGTTTGTTTGTTTTTGTTCTATTCCTAACTATGCCATAGAGGTGAACATAGATGCTTGACTTTGGGATTATCATCTATTGTTTTTTATTTCAATTTTAGTAACATCATTGTTCGTTCTCCATAATAACATTTTAGACTGTTTATATGGCAGAAAAATTGATGCTATGAATAGCTAACTTTGATAGAAACAGCATAGTAAGAATGGTTCGTGCAGGTAGATTTTGTTTCTGAAGGATTGAAAATGTTAGCACTAAACCGTAACTTCAAGTTAATTAAGTTATAAAACAGGACTTAGTAGTATGTCAAGTGATTCTGTTTTCATTTAAAAATGAGCCAAAGCATGATGTTGTAGATTTCAATAATCTAATTGACAGTTATAATTAATTTAATAATCTGATAATCTAAATTGCCCCTGAATTTGATTTAAGTTTTAATTCTTGTTAATGTATACTTTGGTGATGCTGTTTAGTATACATGGCTTTGGAAACTCTATCTGATCAAATAAAATTTATGGAAATACGTTGAAAAAAGTTAGGGCTAATTAGATACTTTACATATCATGGCTATTGAATTTATCTTGTAGGAAATAATAATAATAATTATTATTTTTCCCATACAAAAATTTATACATACATTGTTATGTGACCCTAACTGCTCTCCCTATACTGTGACAGCACACTCCTTCTTTCCACCCCTGATTCCCCTTGTCCATTCAACCAGCTCCTAACCCTCTCTGCCTTCCCATCTCAGCTCCGAACAGAAGCTGCCCGTTTAGTCTCTTGTATCTGCTTGA